CGGAGGGAGCCACTGTCTCCCCACCACTCCTGGGGGAGTCAGCCAGGAGGGGCGACTCAGCCACTGCCCAGAGGGTCATTGCTGCAGGGCTGGGGGCTGAGGCCAGAGAAAGGCGCGGCCCAAAAGGTACTAGGAAGTGCGAAAGTTGTGTATTAACAGACCCGCGCGAGCGCTGCGGTTACAGTGCAGAAGCGCCCCCCAGGCTCCCCTTAGTGCCCCTTGCTCTAAGGCACGTCATTCTCTGGGATGGCATAGGTACTTGGCGCTCCTGGCCAGCCAGGCAGTGCGTCTGCCCAGCAGGCGCCCGCAGAGCCGCGCAGTCCCACCGTGGTGCTGTCCAAGCCCTGTGGCCCCGACGGCTGTCCCTAGAGAAGGGGCGGTGGCGGGTGGGACGCAGTCTTGTGTGAAGTTGGGGCCTGCCAGTCCCCTACTGCTCCCGGGGCGGGCCTCCTCGCCTCCCTTCACTTCTGGGGACTCAGGGCCCGCAAAGGGGACCCCTGCACGTAAGCCAGGACGGCGTTCTGCAAGACGCTGGCCCTCTGGACTTCCTCCTCCCGGACGCGGGCTATCTCGGCCTCCTTGAGCCGCAGCTTCTCCCGGAGGGACGCGTTCTCGCTCTCCCTGTCCAGCAGCGCCTCCCGGTGGTCACTCGCGATCACTGCAGGGAGGGGAGTTCGCCCGCTGTTCCAAGGGCCACTGCCCTGGGCCCCCTCCAGGTCAGCTCCTCTTGCAGGGTGTGGGGGGCTGACCTTTCATCTGACGCTCCAGGGCTGCTGCCTTCTCTTTCAGTGCTTCCTGGGCCGCCAGCTCCGCCTGTAGGCGGCCATTCTGCTCCTGCAGCTCCACTCGCACCCTGGCCACCTCTGCCACCCTCTCCTGGTCCTTGTTGCTCAGCTCCTACCAGACACAGGGTCTGTGGCTGCGGCAGGGCCAGGGCCTCCCCGAAGCTTCTGCTACCTGCTAGCTACCTGCTGCAGCTCCTCCAGGCGCCGCCGCAGGGCCTCCACCTGCAGGCCCAGCTGGCTGGCCCTGGCCTGGGCTTCAGCCACCGTCTGCTTCTGCTGCAGGCAGGCATCCTGGGCCTCGTCCCGTGCCTGCGCCAGCCGCCGCAGCTTGTCTTCCAGGTGGGCCAGGCGCTGTTGCTGTGGGTGGAGGGGCTTGTGCCTGAACCATCTGCATGCAGAGCGACATCCCTGCCTGCCTCCACGTGGCCACACCGAGGCTCCTGCGGACTCCCTCCACCTCACTGACTCCACTCCTGCCCCACCCCTGTGGGCTGTCCCTCTGTCCATCCACCTCAGGCCTGAACCCCAGAGCCAAGGACAGATATGGCACTGCCTCCCCACAACTTCTGGCTCCCTTGCAGGCCCAGATCTGGGGCTGACAGCCCTGGTCTCGCTCGCTCGGCCCTGTGGGGTTGCAGTCCTGGCAGCTCCCATGGGCTGTGGGCCTAGCTCCCTTCCGAAGTGCTGGGGCTGGCCAAGTGTGCCCGGGGCCCTCGCCCAGGGGGCCCAGTGAGCATGCGGTGTGGACTGACCTCCTCCAGGCGGGCCTGGTTCTTGGCCTTCATGAGCTCCTCCTCAGCCTGGCCACGCTCGCTGAGTGCGGCTGCCTTCACTCGGCTCAGCTCCTGCGCCACAGACATGTCCAACGGCCCGCCTCCAGGCCCCAGGCCCCACTCCTGTCCCTCCAGGGCCAGACAGGACCACTCTCCTCCCCTCCTCCCAGCTCCCAAGAGCACGAGGTGCCCCCGAGTGCCACCGTAAGTCCCTCTGGCTTCCCGGGGACAGTGGTGGGTGAGTCTCCAAGGCCTGATGAGGGTCCGAGACTGGGAAGGGGCCCCAGGGTCCTGGGGCGAGGGACCACACTCCCTAGGATCCCCAGCTGGCATGCACACACCTCCTCCAGGGACAGCCGCACTGCCTCCAGCCTCTGCACCCGCTCCTGCATGGCTCGCTCGCTCTCCTCCAGGTGGCGCGTCATGTGCTCCACCTGCCCAAGAGTGGCGGGCTGAAGTGGGGGCCGGCAGCTCCCATGGAACCCCACCTCTTGGGGACCCTATTTCTGCTGAGAAAGGGCTTGCTGCAGTGGCCAAGCAGGATCCAAGGTTGGGAGCACACCCTGGCATGGTGCCCCAAGATGCACCCCGCACAGGTGGGCTGGGCACCTCTTGCTACCTTGGCTGCAGTTGGCCAGGCCCCACCTGCCCAACAGGTGGATCTGGGTCTGACATCGCCACCACCTGCAGCCCAAGGTGAGACAGGGAGCCCCCTGCTTGTCCTTCGGGGCCACCGTGTCACAAGGCCAACCTGCAGGCCCGGGTGGAGGTGGGGAGGGTGAGGCCAGAGGCCTTGGCTGTAAAGGCACCTCCTTGGAGCGCAGGTTCTCTGCACCCTCCAGGCTCTGTTTGGACCTTCTCTTTTCCACATCCAGGCGCTCTGGAAGCCGAGTGGAAAGCAGGTGGTGAGACCATCCAGGGACGCCCCTGCCCAAGGCGCCCCCGGAGCCAGGGCAGCCTCGCCCACCCTCGGCCTGCACAGCTCGCATCCTCAGTTCGGCCAGCTCCTGTCTGGTCAGGAACAGCTGCTCCTGCTGGGACCTCGCCCTCCGCTCCAGCTCGTCTACCTGCGAAGGCAGCACAGAGGGAGGGGGCTGTGCCTGCCTGTAGTGCCAGGGCATCAGCCCCTCGGCCCCCCCGCCCCGGCCCCTCACCTGGTTTCGCAACAGCAGGTTCTTCTCGTGGGCAGCAGCCAAGTCTCTGAGCAGCTTGGCCTCCCGTTCTGCTGCCTCCTGGGGGCGGACAGGCGAGGGGCCATGTGTCACCCTGCCTCAGTGCGTGCCGGACCACCCCACCCAGTTGCAGCCCACCTGCTGCTCCAGCCGGTGCTCCTGGGCCTGCCTCTGCAGCAGGCTCTGCTGCTCCTGCTGCGCCAAGGCCAGGCGCTCCCCTAGGTCCTCGGCCTTCTGCTCGGACAGGGCCAGGGCGGCCTCGGTCATCTGCAGCCTGGGGAGAAGGGCTGGCTCACAGCCTCACTGTTCTCACCTGTCAGGCCCCTCTTGAGCCCCACACATCCTCCGGAAAGCCCTCCTGACTACCGCACCAGCCTGTCTCCCACCTCCTGCTTTGGAGGACTCAGGCCACAGCACCCCCTGCCCTCAGGCCCACCCCTCTGCCCTTACTTGGCCTGGAGCGCGTTGACGATAGAGCCCCGCTCATCCAGGGCCTCCTGAAGCCGCATCACACGTGCTGCCGTCGCCCTGCGGGCAGAGGGTCCTGGGAACCTAGCCCGAGCCCCAGGCCTTTCCAACTCCAGGGGCAGCTGCCAGCCCCGCATACCCAGGCGGAGCCTGTCCCCAGCCCCTGCTACTCCCTCCCGCATGGGCAGATGACGGTGAGCCTTGGCCAGAACCTGCACCATGGCCAGGGCAGCCCCACCAACCTGCCGGTCCTGGCCATCTCTTCTCGCTGCTTATCGATCGTCTCCATCAAGTCCAGGAACTGGGGACAGGCCAGCCAGAGCACTGTCAGGGGCCAGAGCCTGCCCGCCCCACCATGCTGGGGAGGGGAGAGAGCCCGGCCACCCTGCAAGGCAGCGGGGCCTGCGGCTTCAGCCTCCCAGGTCTTTGAGAGGGAGGCCTGGAGGCTCAGATGGCAGCTGTGGAGGAGCCCACCCACAGGGGGTCACACCAGAGGCCACCTCTCAGTCCTGGACAGGGCTGGGCCCCACAGTCAGCCAGGATGCCATTCTTGCCTGCTTGGACTTCTCCTCCCGGAGGTGCTGGACCTCTTTGCTGAGGACACGGGTTCGGGCCTGGGCCTCCTGGAAGGCTGTGCGACGGTTCTGGTTGTGGTCCATGGCTTGCTCTGTCGGAAGGGGAGGCACGTATTGGGGCAAGTGGGGGGGGGCTACTCACGTCTCAAGTTCTAGAAAGACCCAGGGAACATGTGGGAAGAGGCCTGAGGCAGCAGTGAGGGTGAGAACGGGTGACAATGGCCAGGATGGTATGGAGGCAGGGCAGGGCCCGCAGCAGGCCAGAGGGGTTGGGTGGGCCTGCAGGGTGGCACGTGAATGCAGAGTGCAGACAGGCCGGGGCCGGCAAGTCCGGCCTGAGCTCAGCTGCGGTGGCTGGTGCTGTGCACAGGCCAGGACTGCACCTGGGATGGGTGGGGCCCGGGCCTGCCCACGGCGCAGGTACACCGCGCAAGCTCGGATGGCCAGGGCCGGTTCCATGGAGTCCGTCCCTGGCCGTGGGTCCTCAGCTTCTCCACATATCAGTGGGCCAGGGTGCTGCCCACCACATGGCCCTGCGAACTGGGTGGGCGCAGGCCAGCAGGCGGCGCACGGGCTACACGGCTGGGCTCTGACGGGGTCAAGCAATCACAGTTGGAGTCCCAGACCAGCGCTTACTGGAGAAGGGATGGGGTGTGGCCATCCCCCTGGGGGGTGATTACTTGCTTCCTGTCTCTTTGGGGAGCACACGTGGCCTACAGCAAAATTCTCTTCTGCACAGGGCAGCAGCTGCCACTGCCACTGCCTCCAGCCCCTCAGCCTTGGTTCTCAGCGGCGCCGGGCACAGGCAGCGTAGCACCCGACCACACCCGTACCCACGGCTCTGAGGATGTCGCCCGGCACGTTGTTCCCGGCCAGCTCCAGCCTCCACAGGGTTCTGCTGCTGGGGAGAGAGCTCACGAGGGCCCGGCCCCCCAGGAGGCCGACGTTGTTCCAACGCAGGTCTGGGAGGGAACCCACGGTCACCTGGGGAGGTGAGGGCTTGCCTGGCCGGCCCAGGGTGCCACCTTAGGGGCTACTGCCCGGGGCGTCAGAGCAGGAGCCCACGCCAGTCCCCCGCTTCCAGACCGCTGCAGAGGACGAAGGACAGCAGGTGCTCCAACCGCCCAGGGAGCAGGCTCACCCAGCTGCTGCAAGGCGGCGTTGCCCTTCAGGGCCAGGGCCAACGCCTCTGCCCCCTTGTGGCTGATCTGGTTGTTGCGGAGGTCCAGCTGCTGCAGGGTGCTGTTGGCTGCCAGGCCCCCACAGAAGGTGGCGAAGGCCTCTTCCCAGGTGCCCAGGCTGTTCCACTCCAGCGTGAGGCTGCAGAGGGTGGGCACAGGTGTCCGACCAGAGGGCCCCCCGCTGCACTGGGTTCTGGGCTGGAGTGGGGGGGCACATCCAGGGGACTGGAGGAGTCCGGCTGGGGATGAGCAGGCCCTCCCAGGTCTAGGTCATGTTCCCTGGAGCCAGCCCTGAACTACACGGGGTAGGGGGTCAGGGTGGCAGGGACCATCTCCCACCTCTGAATGGCCCTGTTCTGCCGCAGGAGTTTCCCCAGAGCCTCGGCCCCAACTGCTCTCAGGTTATTGCCCTAGGACAAGAAAAGGCCACCAGTCACTCTCACAGGGCCCCGGGCCACAAGGACAAGGTCAGGAGGCAGGGTCCTTTCAGAGCCTGGTTCCCACACTGGCTGTTTATGTGACCACACAGCCTTGAAGTGATCAGGGCCCCGTGCCAAGGGCACTCAGATGCAGTCCCCTGCCTGTCCAGATCCCAGGTCCCTGGGCATGGCGCCTTCCACTCGCGCCCTGGACACACCCCGGAGCCTGGGCCTGCTCACCTTCAGGTCCAGAAGCCGCAGGACCGAGTTGGCACAAAGCCCATGGAGCAGCAGTGCAGCCCCTGTGTGAGGGAGCGCTGTCATGTGGTGCCCCACAGACCCAGGTCAGGGCAGGGAGAACTGTGCAGGGGTCCCACCGGCCTGGGCTCCTGCCAGAAATGAGCCTCCCTCTGCATAGCGGTCACACCTGAGGCTCACAGCACAGCAAGCCCTGCCATTGGGCGGCTGGGCCCCTACTCCAAACTGCACGGGAAACCATGGGCATTGGGGCCTGCAGGTGGCCGCCCTGCGTCCCCAGGTTCAGAGAGGGGATACTGCCGCTCACTCTAAACACGCACAGACGGGGAGCCCCGACTGAGAGGAAGCGCTCCCGAAAGATAAGTGGGCAGGCCGCTAGGACCCCGGCAGAGGCGCGGGGGCTGCCGGTGCCCACCGTCCTCGCTCAGCATGCAGTCGCTCAGCACTAGCTCGGTCAGCAGCGCCTCGTTCCGCAGAAGCGAGCCCAGGGCCCTACAGGTGTCCACGGTCAGGCTGTGCGTAGCCAGGTCCAGCCGGCCCATCGGGAGCTGATGCAGCTGCTGCAGGACCGCCTCCTGGGGCTCGGCGCCGCTCTCCCTGCACAGGCGGCTATAGGAGCGCCGAAACTCCTCCATGTGTGCTCGCACGCCGGGCAGGCCTCCCTCCCCGGGCGCCTATGACCCGGCGCCTTTGCAGATCAGCAAGGGGTTCTGTGCGCGGGAGGCCGGGAGCGCTCCGCGAGGGCAGGAAGCAGGGCGCCCCAGGGAGGCGGGAGGACCCTGCTGCCCCTCAGCCCGCAGCCTCCCAGCCTCCCAGCCTCCCAGCCCCCAATTCCCCAAGCCCCCAGCCCTCGCGCCGCGCTCTCCACCGCGGCCCTGGGAACTCAGTATCCAGGAAGAGCAATGCGCGCCGGGAACGGGCGGCGGGAACTACAACTCCCAGCAGGCCTTGCGGAAGAGAGGCTCCTCGCGGGGCAATGAAAGCGAAGACACGCGCACGCGCTGTGGTCCTTAGGCCGGCGGAGGCGCGCCCCGCTTTACTGGGGGCCGGGGGCGGGGCCCCTGGGAGGGGGAATCCAAGTTCATTGGCTAGTGGTGTGGGGGTGGGCCTCAGAGAGGGCGCGCTCCGAGCTCGTTGGCTAGAGACGCGGAGGCAGGACTCGCAGGGAGCGCGCCTAGGTGGCAGTCATGGACGGAGCCGGCGCGGGATTCCGGAAGGTGAGGGCAGGCGGTGGCGGGCGCTGCGGGTCACGTCGGCCGTCGCTGTCGTTTCCCGCCGGCCTGGGCCTGAGAGCCCGCACTGCGGCGCCCATGCTTCCCAAGAGCGCTCGGACGCTGAGCACGCCAGACCCCCCGGGCAGCTCGGGCCTGGGCCGTGGGACTGTGACGCAGGGTCGGACGCAGCATCCGGACCCCTGCGCCTGGTGTGGCCGGTCGGGGTGTCCGGGAGGAAGACCCGCCGGCTCATCCCACGCAGGCGCCCCCGAGGTTCTGCGAGTCCTTCACGGCAGGAGGGCGTGCGGGCCCCGGAGGCCTTGCAGGCCTGAAGTGTGGTATCGCCTGCCTTTACCACCCAGGAGCGTGGCGCTGCCCTTGCTCAGAGGGGAGCCGCCGGGACCCGGCCACCCTTAGGGTGCGGCACCGCCCGCCGCGCTTACAACCGAGAGGGGTCGCCAGGCACACACCGTGGGCGGCCGCCTCTCCGTCGAGCTGGCCAGGACAGCTGGGACCTGAGGGCTCCTGCCAGAGCTAGGGCTGTGGTCATCTCAGACAGCGATGGCCACAGGGCAGGTTGCGTTCCAGGTCTCTCCCCGCGTGCGGGACTTCCCTGCCCTCTCCGAGGCCCGTCTCGTGTGGTCTAACGGGGCAGCCCAGCTGGGGTTCTGGAGCAGGCCGGGCAGAAATCGTTTCCGCCTTTCCTAGTGGGGCTCTGGGCAGCAGTAAGGAGGGCCAGCAGGTGGCGCCAAGCACCCACGGCACTGCTGGGGCAGCGCGGGCCTTAGACCACTCTAAGGTGGCCAGCCTGCACTGACAGCCTCGCTGCTGGCGGTGGCACATTCGTCTCCACCTTGTCTCAGGGTCGCACCCAGCATCTCCTCCTGCCCACTGCACTGAGTGTAGGACCCGCGGGAACTCCCTGCCAGGGACCATCCCCGCCTGTCCATGCACACGGGCACCCCACCCTGCAGTCCCCAGGGCTTTCTCCTGGCCCTTCCCGCCCCACCCCAGGTCTGGCCTCTCCACAGGCACACTCCAGCCTTAAAGCACTGGCCTTTCAGGTCCACCCTGGGAGAGGCCCCAGGCAGAGGAAATCCAGGGACCTGTGGGCGTAGGGTGGGGCGCTGACACCCACTCCTCCCTCCAGGAGCTGGTGAGCAAACTGCTCCACCTGCACTTTAAAGACCACAAGACCAAAGGTGAGTGGGCCCCAGGAGGCGGCCAACCCTTCACGGGAGGCGGTGCAAGGTGGGTCTGGGACCCCTAGCCAAGGCAGTGGTGGGGTCCCTGGAGCCTGCTCTCTTGCCTTGCAGTCAGTGGGGACGCACTGCAACTCATGGTGGAGCTACTGAAGATCTTTGTCGTGGGTGAGCCCAGGCCCTGCCCGGGGACCCTGGCGTCGTGATAACTTATTTTTCTGTGCGAAAACCAAAATGTAAAATCCCCAGGTCCCGCAGCACCTGAACTGTGCACCCCAAAAAGCCATTCAGGGGCCCCGCCGGCCCTTGCGCACTGCCCGTGGGGGTGGTTGGGGCCCATGGCCAGGGAGGACTCAGGGTTGAGCACCCACAGCCCCTCCTCCCCATCAGAAGCAGCCGTTCGCGGGGTCCGGCAGGCCCAGGCAGAGGACGTGGGGCTGGTAGACGTGGACCAGCTGGAGAAGGTGCTCCCTCAACTGGTACGTGGGCTGGGGGCTCGGGGTGGCCGGGCAGGCCAGGCTCTGAGCACTCCCTCCCCACAGCTCCTGGACTTCTAGGGGCCTCTGTAGCCTCTGGTCTGACAGGGAAGGACTCAGCCTGGTGACCACCCAACGTCCAAGATGCCAGCCTCTAGGATGGCCACCGCCACAGCCTGCTGCTGCTGTACCAGCCCTCACCCCAAGCCCCAAGCCACGCCTGGGAAGGTGCAGGCCGACCCCCGGGGCACCGCCCATGGGAGACAGCCCCAGGCAGGGCCTGGGGTGGAGGCATTGGGTGGGGCTGCTGGCAGCATGGCCCTCTCCTCCCACTCCTGCCACCTCTTGGAGGGTGCTTCCCCGCACCCTCAATAAATCAAAGCTGTCTCTCCAGGCCCGGGCCTCACTCCATTTGTCACCCAGAACTCAGTGACCAGAGCCGCACCCTCCCAGCGCCTCCACGTTGGTGCCAAGAGAATTTCTGCACAGGCAGACTCACACGGTCATGTGTACGTGTATGGTGTGCCCACCCTGCCTGGAAAAGCTTTTTAATCCCGGACCTGGTGGCCTGCTTTCTCGTTCTCTCTGTGGTTCTCTCAAATTAATATGAAATGAATGAGTGAATAAATAAATGTCCTTTAAAGAGAATTATTTTATTTAACTTTATTCATTCATTCATTTTAATTTGAACAGAGAGAGGAAGTGAGCGCGCAAACTGCTAGGTCCAGAACTTGAACCGTGGTCAGCTATGTGGGAGTGACCAGTGCCTCAACCACCACACCACCTGCTGGTCCCCCTGCCTGAAGTCTGACTTCAGGGCCAGCCAGGTAGAGTGGTGGTTAAGGTGGCTGGGTTCCACATGGCTGACTGGTTTGAGTCCTGGACCCAGCGGTTTGAAACACACACTGGGCATGTAAGTGTGTGCTCCAAATCCTGAGGAGGGACTGAGCGTGGCCACTCCCCGAGGTGTCTCTCTCTCCCCCTCTCCATTGGTCTCTGGTGAGATATGCCTCTAGTGGAAAAAGGCAGAAAGCACCTTCCTCCTGCCAGACTGGTGGCCACAGGTGCACCCTGGAGCGGGCCTGCAGGCTGGTCACTGGGCACGCAGGGTGAGGGGCCTGGCCCGCCTGACGCTGTGCTGAAGGAGAAAGGGCCTCTCCTGTCTAGCCACTAGCCTCAGGCCATGCCAGGGGAGGTGTAGGCCTCTCTCCAGCCATGCCGCCCCGGGCTGAGAGGGACTGTCTGGAAGCCCTGCCCAGGAGGTCGGGTACTCCATGCACAGGGCCCGACTGGGCCACGTCCCCCCCCTGCCCACCACCCAGTGGCTCTTGTGCTTAGTGCATTGGCGCCCAGGACAAGGGTTACAAGGGCTCTGAGCACACGTGGCAGAGCATGTG